TCCTTTTCTTAAACTATTGACTGCTTATGAGCAGCGTTTTCTGCGCAGTTGCGGGAACTGCTGTGCTTGCTTTGATTCAGTGAATACCTACTGTCGTGGATTCTAAAACTGAGCAAATAATAGCAGTAATATTTTGCCTGAAAAGATAAAAAATAGCAAAGAAGACATTTGTAAAGCTGTGCAAAGTGTACGAGATCAAGCATTGAGAGGAATTAATGTTTTTCTTTCGTACTGATGATTCAGCGATGGGTTTGAAGATGGTGATAAGGAACAATGGAATGATCGTCGTTTGCTGTCTGGAAAGAATAGAGCATAGAAACGTTCAATATTTGTTTCTGAAAAATCGTTACTTATCGCTTTTCTAGTGTTACCTGGATGAACCAGTATTACAAAATTGTTGCGGAAAATCTTCAAAAAAAAGGAGCGTTTGTTCTCAATTTGTCTCTTTCACATTGACAGTCGAACAGTAAGATTTAATTCATGCGTGTCATCCAAATCGCAGCCATTAAACCTAATTTTTGTCACTGAAATTGAAACTTGGTGCTTAGCTTCCGATCCCGGAATAAAACATTAGTGACCTGCTTGGGTTGGAGAAGGCTAAAGAAACGGCTAAAGAAATTCCTTTTCGGAAATCTCAAATAAAGACCATGCTAGTGACTTTTCCATTTTGGAAAATGATAATTCACGAAGAATGTGCCCTTGATGTGTAGAGGTTGAACTCCACATTTTACAAAGACATAATGGATAAAGTTCTAAATAAAACGCAGTGTCTTAGTCCTGAAAAAGCTCAACTGAATAACTGTATCGGTGCCTCCCGAGTGGGAGAGTGGTTAATGACCCTGACTACTGTTCGGATCCCAGAGAAGTTATGGATGTTTGAAAATGTATAGTGTCTTTGTAGCATGAGGGAACTCTAAAAATATGGTGAGCCGAAAGTCCTCTCGTGTGGATTCTGGTAGGAAAAGAGGGGTGAGAGACCCGTAACAACCATAGACCTGTTATATACTAGACGGAGCATCGCCATTCAAAACCGGGTGAAAAAGTGGCACAGGAATGAGCTGCAGGAGTTTGGGCATGAAATGGAACTGAATCCAGACTTTGGCGTACTATCGCCATGGCTGGCGATTTTTTTCCCTTGTTTTCTCTCAGTTCGAAATGCGAACTTAGAAAGACGTCATTTCGCAGAAGCTGCCGTTGAATTTGCGAAAGGTTAGATCGATAACACCAGCCAAAATTAATAATTTCCCTAAATTGGACACTTATTTTAAAATTTAACTTTATTTTAATTTAATTAAAATTTAAATAATTTTAATGCTGTAGAATAATATTTTGCAATATGTCCATCGGCGTCTACAAAATTAAAATAAAATAAAAAAAAACTGGAGAGACAACTAAATAATAAACTAATAACTAAATAATAAACTAAATAATAAAAAACTAATAGCAAACAAAAAATAAATAAGTAAAATAAATAAATAAAAAGAAGGCTTTTTTAGTACTTAGGACAGAATAAAAAATAAAAAAAATAGATAAATAAGAAGAATGAGTGAAAACAGAAAATAGTACAAAAAGGAAATTTATATTAATACGAAAAGGAAATTTAATGTTAATACGAAAAGGAAATTTAACGTTAACACGTGTATTACAGAGAACTACAGAGTAGGCAAATCAACGTGAGAAAGGCATTAAATTAAATGAACTAAAAATGAATGTCAATATAACAGATACAAGTTAAAAGGAAGAGAGAGAGGTAAATTAATGAAACAAAAAAGTGATAAATTAAGACTTTTACTAGCAAAAATAAGTATATTACGCACGTTGCACAATGTAGTCGCACTGATTTTAAATAATTTTAGAAGATAAAATTTAAATAATGTTCATTATTTTTAAAAAGAAACTTAAAATGATTAAAGTTTTGAAATTTAACTGCTATATAATGACTATTATCTTAATACTTAACAAATTCTTAATATTAAAATAAATGACAGAAACATGATATAAGAAAGAAAAACGTGATTGAAGGTAACAAATTTGTTATATTTGGATGCAGAAAAGGGGATAAAATAAAGTCATTCAGTCCCCCCAAAAAACATAATTTTATGCAGTTCTTACACGGTGTTACATCAACATTACCAAGTATTAAATAATACATTACTACTTCGCACATGTCCGCATGAGCAAACGCATACAAAAATATATAAACAAACGTATTCAAGCAGTCTGTTGGCGTATAAAAAATGTCGCCAAAGCAGAATACTAGACAATTAAATTATTGTTACTAAATTTTAACATTTTTTTCAGAAACAGTTATTAGAAACATTCATATATTTAAGATATTTTATTTAAATGTTATTTCAATATGATACATATATAAAATTAGAAAATCTATTTTTTATTAGAAAAGGCAAGTAGAGGGGATAAAAAAACCTCTACATTTTATAAAATTAGTTTTAAACATTAGAAAAAGCTCAGTTGTAAATGTTCCCTCCATCTTTCACGTATCTGGAATTACATCCATATGCGGAGCACGAAAGTATCATTTTGGAAGTCCGAAACAATGCGCTTACACGCAAAACACTTGCTTCTCACAAATTCTCCATAGAACTGTAACGGTAACGAAGATACGCGGGAAATACGATTTGGGAAATGTTCCAAATGTCACGTGGTTCGCATTCCTGTTTCCCTTCAGGGTTGCCGTTTCTCTCTCTAGTACATTACAGCTCTATGGTAACAACCCCCTGTGTGCTGTCCCTCAAAACTGGGGGGGGGGGGAACTTGGCGAAATCGCACTGTCATCTAGATGGTGCCCGAGGTTCTTTTCAACGACAGGTGTAATCTCGTACGCCGTTCGCGATGAATTTCGCGGCCTTGCTCTGTCAGACAAGCGAGATTAGTCACAACGCAACAGCACTGTATCGGTTGGTGTGTCATTCAGCCCAATAACTATAATAATGGTTTCTGCTGCATGTCAGGGCACCATCACAAAGTTCCATTTTCGTCGAACAGTTTTTCTACCAAAGAAAATTAAAAGTTCTCAATCACTTCGTTTATCCAAGCAGATTGGGCCTAAACACCATTTTCTCTTCCCTAAAGTGAAATCTAACCTCGAATATTATTATTTTAAGAGCATTAAATCAGAAAAGCATAACAAGAGACCTTTACAGTATTCCGATAGAAGACTATTGCAGAGGAATCAAGCACCTGTATGAACTTGCCAAACGACTTAAAAAAATTGTATAATGAAAATTAAGCTTTACTTCTGAACTTTCAGTGAGGGACGAATTTGGTCCTAAAACTTGGTCTACTTTGCAGGCCCACTGAGTTAACTGTTATAAATATTGCCATTTAACTGTTATAAATGAGCCACTGTTATAAATATTGGAGAACTAAAAAGGATCATCATAAGTCTCATAAATTTGCAGAACTAGTTTCGACGGCTTGAATGGAACCTTCGTCTTCAGCTGCAGGAGTGATGAAAACTTACTCCTTGTTAAGCTTTATAAACTCACTCCTTCCTTAACTCATTCCTTTCAAACCTTCTTAAGAGAGCTGCGATAGTAAGATGCCCGCATCTTTATCTAAATAACTTAAAAAGAGCCACCTTCATAAAAATACGGCGCCATTATTGTAGGGTCCACAATAGATGCTGTGTTTTCATTTATTTTGCTAATCAGAGTAGCAAATTAAACTCTCCTTGCATAGCTATGTGCGAAAGCCTATATGGACAATTTCTAACTTCTAGAAAAGCAGTTTTCATAATGGTGCGGAAACCTATATGCCAGTATATAGGCTTCCGGGGCACCGTTACGAAAATTGCTTTTTTAGAAGGTAGGAAATGTCAGCATAAGAATGCGAGCATTTTTATACCGAGGCACGATGATGAAAGTGTCTGAAAACGTGGTCGAGTTGCATTCACGTGCCTGCACCTTAATGATGGGGAACTCTTACAAAACTGTCTTGCTACGTGAATAAGATTATGTAAGGTTATATTTTGAGAAAGTTACCATTTTGTACACTGTCTGATTATCAATCATCAATACGTTAAAAATAGTTCCATTCTCTTCATTTTGAATAGATTGAATTCCAACATCTTTGTATGAATTAAAATAATACACAGACGGACAAATGTCAAAGATAATAAAGCAACAAGAATCAACTAAAGTTACATATATTTATTTACAAGACTACTAAAGCTGTTGAAGAAGGTGAGAAAATGACAAAGAAGCATGAGCTCACGCGATACCAATCGATAAAAAAATTCGAGAATGTTACAGCTGAGGAAAGTAATAAAGTCGCAGGGCTATTTATTGACAGAAAATGAAAACATCTATGAAGTAATTTTTTTTAAATCTGAAGGTAAAGCAGTATTAGAATTGGAATTGAAAAATTTAAGATTTTTTTTTAATGTGAAACGTCTCTAGAAGATTTAGTTCTCAAATGAAAAAATGTTTTTTGAATAATTATGGCTGCAGAGAAAAGAAAAATGTTATTTTCTGATCAGTAGTGTCGGGCAAGGAGTACTATATGCATCAATTTATATCTGGAATGGGACCTTTTTAAGTATGAAAATCCAAAACTTTTATTGGCAGAAGAAAAATGGCGCTACTGGCTTTGTTCCTTTCTTTAACTGGAAATTTCTCAGATTTTTTCTCTAGTGGTATCCTTGATTATACGCTTCTATTTCTTCATTTTCACAACTACAGCTGATGAAGAAGGCTCTAATTAACCTTCGAAACAAATTTTGCAAATTCATGCAACTTACTCTGATCCTTGTTACTTTCGTATCTTAAACAACACAATGGTTTTTAGAAAACTTACCTAAATGTTATTCAGCTCAACAAACCCTTAGAAGATTCATACAGTAATGCCTAATCATGTAATGTATGAATCTTCCTATGCGGAGCTGCGATCAGAGAAAAGAAAAGTTTAATAAAGCAAGAGGAACATCCTTGAAGATAAAATAGCTAGGGGGGGAGTTATAAAATAAATAAATTCCTTACTAGTTTGCAGACAGCAAGAACTGTCCAGGGACTTGGAGCAGACTTTGTGGCTTCTCTTCCCCTGTTCCAAATTATCTTGAAAAAACATGCCAACCAAAGGAAAAGACATGGCAAGAGGATCAGTACCAGATGTCTGAAGCAATTCGTCACTCGAGGCGTAGATGTGTTCCAAAAGGAATCCCAATCCTTAGCAAGGAAAAGATATAAATAATAATGATTACTTCATAGTTTTCTCAATGAATTACTAATTAAAGTTAATGGACATTACGTATAGTTTTCCATTTAGGAATGAACATAATCACCGGTAAAAAGGAGCTATTCTGACATAGTTATCAAATTTACCCATTTCTTTTAAAAATTACATAAAATAAGAGATCAAAATGATAATTTTAGCGAAATTTGTTAAACACGGGATGATGTTGATTTACGATTATGTAAAATAAACTGTGATTATGCATAATAAAATTTCCATAACATATAGCGCGTCTCAAAAATTTGGTCACGTTTTTAAGGGTCATTTACAATAAACAAATTGCCGTTGAGAAACAATCTGCCCACAAAAATTAACACAGTGGCAGTCTCTCCCACAGAGAGTGTGCATACAAATTACTGTTTAAATTTTCGTCAATAAATGAATCTGTTAGTGTCGCATTATAGGACTGTAAAAAAAGAATAATGCTACATTGATTTCTTTCGTTTGCATTTGTGAACTTATTACAGTACTGCTAACGCATCCGGCACCGTTTTTTAACCTTTTAACTGTCATGCCCGAGCACTGGTGTTCGAAAATGTCACGCCCGAGTATTTCTCGGGGTAATTTTTTTTTTTTTTTTTTTTTTTTTTTTTTTTTTTTTTTTTTTTTGAATGCATCGTATTGTCATACCCGAATATATATCGGGAGATGTTTATTTCGGCTACATTTGGTTTTTCCAATAAAAAAATTTGACAATTTGTGTACCCAAATCATCAAAATAACTTGACAGTTAAAGGGTTAAAGTATTTTAAATTAACCCGTTTTCGCGTCTTTAGCAGTAGAGTACCCTGTATCGATGAAAATTTGGGTTTAAAATGTATCTTATGAGGAAAAGAATCCGTTTCTCCGTACTAATTTTTTAGGTGTAAATCACACTCATATGTCGGTAAATTTGGATATTATTATTTATAGTCTACAAACTGAATCTGTTTTTAGAAAACTGAGGGAAAATATTTTATTCAACTATAATGTTAATAAAAATTGGAAATAATGTTAAGAAATACATGTTTAAAAAATGAAATAACAATATGAAAAAACTGGACTGGGGGTAATTGTATTACCTCTCTTATTTCCCTTAAAAAAATTGCAGAAAAGAAAAAGAATCATTAAAAACTGCAATCTGAAAACTTCAGATTACAATCATAAAGTTTCAAAAAGTTCAACAACGCTCAGAAAATAAATAAAATACATAAAAGCAATTTTTCCATTTCTGAGGAAGAAAGACTATGTCAGATCGCTCTCCAAAACGATTAATCGATATTGTCCCTCCCCCTTAATTTTGCCACGATTTGTTTCATTACAAATTAACTTCGTGCGAAAATGTGGGCATTTATTTCATAAAGAAAATATTTAATTATTCAAGACGTAGCTGTGCTTTCATTTCAATGGATCATTTGAGCACGAGATTTGTAACAATTATTTCGCTCAAGTGGAAGTACTTTCTATTTAGGAAAAACACAGAATCCACAAATCAGAAATATTAAACATTTCGAAGAAGTTTATTTTGTGGTTAAAAAAGAAAAAAATGTTAAAAGAATATTTGAAGTCATTCAAGATATTTCTGGTATTCTCTAGATCACTATGAACTTTTGATCGGCAAAGTAAAATGTTATCTGCTTTGATAACCAAATTACTCTGCTATCTCTTTCGTTCAACACGTTGCCGTGCTGATTTTTATACAGGACGAGAATTTGAATTCCCCCTTTTATTCCACCTTATTCTATTTTTATGCACAGATACATATAAGTAAATTTCAACAAACTTTCGCGAAAGGCAACGACAGAAAAATTGAATTTTTACCACCCGCAATAAAATTCACAACAATTAAAAAAAAGAGAGTTTTTTTTAAACTTTAATGTTAAATAACTGCAAATTATTATTTAAACTTCATCGCCTACAGTATTATGCATAAAGCACATGCGCATAACAGTTAAATTAAATTGAAATTCTACAAAAATATTTCAGTTATTTAAATTGAAGTTGTTCATTTATAATATTTAACAACATTATTGAAAACTGAATAATTAAATACAGTCAACTTTCCATTAACTGAGTCCTGTAAAAAAAAAAAAAAAAAAAAAAAAACTGATGTGTACATTACATGACTTCCTTGTACGGTATATTAAATTATACTCTTTTACATATTTATCATTTTTTACATGTTAACACGCACATAATATAGGTATTTTGTTAAAATATATACTTGTGTACTTGTGCATACAAGTAGTTTAAAGTTTTGTAAAGCAAATTCAAGTTCCTATTCTAAGTTATCGAAAGATAACCAAGATGTGCTTTTGGTTCGGAACTGTCACTAAACTATATCATTGCGTTTTACGGATTCTTGGATTTCGAATAATTGAAGAATCAAAACACAATTTATTCGCCGGTAAGCGGTATTATACAGGACAGTTCCAAAGATACATTCACACTCATCGGAAAACTACGACAAACACCAATACAGCCTTCAGGACATCACTGTGAAGACAGCTTCACGGCAAAGCACTAAAGTACAGCTCCCGAATCGGTCATTCGCTCTCAAGCTAATTTCTGAACTCAAGACATTACTTTCTCCCCGTACAGGTAAAGTATACATAGCTTTAACCTACCTTCGAGAACATTCCCGAAAAATTCGCTAAGAATGCGTTCTAAAATATTCTTGCTCCGCCTATGGCGTATCGCCAATTTAGTCGCCAAATGAGCAACTTCACGACAAATCTGGCAACCCTAACTCCGCTTTGCGAGAAAGCTATCTCACCTCAGCTGGGCATTTCGCAACAATATAAACTAATTTTACCCACCAGCAATGAATGTTTCTTATGCGCAAGTGCTTTTTGCTTTGTGTACGAAAGTGTCATTAAACCAATTGTTATCTCTAAAAAGCACAACAAACTTCTTCCGGTAGGATCTCGTAATTTAAAGAGGCGGAGAAATTGCCCTTGAGACAATATACCTTTGGTGAGAATATTTCACTGCACTTTTGCAGGTAGTCAGCTCCATAACCAATTTTTAAATCATTGTGTAAAGGTTTATTTCTAATACAGTAATGCGCTTAAGTAATTGCTCTAAGGATCTTATTTTGCACAATCTGAAGCCTTTTTAAAACGTCTTTGTGCAGCCCAGGCCGGAGACGCATAGCACATAATAGGCCGTTAACAACGATATTTCTATCACTGAAAAGAATTACGGGAATTTATAAGAGTTTTTCTCTCCACTTTTGTAAATCGGAACTTACTTCAAAAGTCATATAAAAAAATTTTAATTTCGAGTTTTAAAATACGAAACGCAATTAAACTTACATTGTAATGTTGTTAAAATTTACTTTTTAACTTGTTAAGTATAGATATCTTTCAAAAGAAAACGGAGTTAGTTCCCGACGAGGATGGGATTCGAACCCACGCGGGCAGAGCCCAATGGATTAGCAGTCCATCGCCTTAACCACTCGGCCACCTCGTCACGTTAGTAAACACATGTAATTTGAACTCTCCCAAAACCTAGCTCTTAATAGGCATTATTTGTGAAGTTCGTGTCTTGTTATTTTTATTATGCCTCGGCACTTCGAAAGGGGTGCATTCTTGGTCCTAGAAATGTCCGCAGCAAGTATCCTGAATCAAACAGAGCTTCAGATTTGAGAATGAAAAAAAACCTCCATAGGATTGTATAGTAATGTTCACGAAAACGCTATTAACTGACTGCTGGATAGTGCGGTGAAATTATCTCCCCCCCCCTGAACTTAAGTTCAATTCTGTGCCCACTAGAATAAAATTGGACCTCCCTGTAAAAGGTAGGCTCAGATTTCTTCCCTTGTAACACTTGCAGTTGATCGGCAATAGCACAAGTTTTACCTAGAGCATACTTTTTATGCGTGTGTTCCGAGTAAACCTCCGATTTAAGTATAATAATATGTATTTAGTATATATACCTCCAGTGGAAAGTGTTTAAGACACTAGGGTACCTATGCTCGAGGTACTGACCCTTGTAGAACATTTAAAAATTTCGAATAATGGCATAAAAATAACCAAGATAAGATCTCGAACTCTTAATTTAAATTAAGTAGAAGAATTAAGCGAAGAACTTGATTTTAAATAAATAGATAATTATGCGAAGAATCTAATCTTAACGAGATTAAATTTGTAAGAAAAATGAAGATTACCTAACAAGTGCAGGCCCAGAAGCTGTCGAAGTGATGAGTAAGAATTGTATTCTTCTGTAAACTGTACAAAGTCCTTCATCATGTGATCAGTCCTTTTCAGCGAACTCGATTAGTTAAATTCCTACTATTAGCTCACATTCTCCCTATATCTTGTTCAAATTTTCCATCATTAGTAAAATACTTTTTATTCATCCACTTAAGTTCAAATATATGTTTTTAAACTTTTAGTGGATGACAGTTGATATTAATACCGTTTTTTTCACATATTAAAAATTATTTAAATTGTTATGGCCCTCTGACGCTAGGTTTACTTAACAGCGTTATATCTCATTCATTTTATAACTCAGAATGCACAAAAATTATAGCATTTGAAGAATTATCTGATCGTTGCCATATGCTCCATTCAAATACTATAATAAATCTAAAAATATGTATAAAATAAATTTTAAAAATTTAAAAAAAAAATAGTTTTTCACAGACGATTCAGCACCACTTAAGCGCCTAATGCGCATGCGCTACTCGTAAACATTCTCCTCTGTCCAAGACAGACTGACGACAATATTTGTTTCCAATACAAAATACTTATTTCCTCGAATTTCATTACAGATATATTTCTCATTCAATTAATTCGGTTCTCACTTCGCAACAAGGTACATAAAAACTCAAAATATTTTCATTAAAAATTGAAAGATATGGAAAACATAAAACACCAAATATAGTTAAAACAATTTTAAAAAATTTTACAATTAAAATTACAGTTTCTATCCAGAAACTAGTAATTCGGCCAGCAGGCAAGAAGGCAGATTTCTTGGTGCACAAAACTAAAAGTTTCATTTTGGTCCCACTCGGCATAAAACACGGAGAGTGCAGATAGAATTAATTCACTATTCTGCTAAGTTTCAACTGTAAACAAATATGACTGCCATAGTAAAAAAAAAAAAAAAAAAAAAAAAAAAAAAATTAGGCTTAGCCGCACTTAAACAACTTTTAAATTGTTGATATTTCTACATCTATTGTATGCAGATCAACTAAAAGCATAAAAACCTTAAAGAGAAGATACGAAGAACATAATTCAATCATTTTTAAAGCAAAAAATACACAATTTACCGATATATAAGAATAAAAAACCTGAGTTCGCTGAACCGAGTAACAGAGCGGTATTTATACATATATATGTTATGGCAGTTCTATATACAAAATTTCAACGTTTTGAGGCTACTGGTTTTTAAGTTATGCGAGATACATACGTACATACGTAACGTACAAACGCCACGAAAAAAATCTACTCTGAATCCATTTTAAATCAGTTTTATAATTCGTTTGGGGGAAAAGAGTCTTATAATATGTCATTACGTACAGATTATAGATGTCAGGCAAAAACATCGTTAAACTGCATTCGATAGTGGTCAAAATCGATATTTTCGTTTAAATATGGTAACCGGGAGCCCACCAGCGGCCGAGCGGTAAAGTCGCCGAACACTGGTAGTTCGGTTCGAGGTTCGAATCCCGCGAACGGGCTGGCTGCATGGGCGTTTTCGTGGTTTTCCCCATGTGTAACGTGTATACGAGCCAGTTTCCCTTAGAAAGTCCTCCACGAAGGCATCCCTCCCCTTAGGCAGATAGCCCTCGTGTGCTTTGCCATAATTAAATACACACATACACACACAAATATGGTGACCGGAATTTTTCGTGATTACAATACTTCCTTTACTTCGTACAAGGAAATAATAATCTATTTATTTAATTTTAATGCATTAAAATTAAGAATCGGATTATGTGTTTAATTTTATACGCATATTATACAATCATTTTTCAATCTTATCTCTATATTATACATATATTACTCTTTAGCATCAAAATTTGTACAAAGCTAAGAAAATGTCACTTTTGTAATAATTCCTAAGAAGGCATGTAATTATACTTAAAGTTTATGTTCGCAATTTTATTATTCGTCTCGACATTTTTTTTCTTTGGTTAAGTGAGTGACACTCGTTTTATGTTACGGTTTCTGAATTCTAGAAAAGGCATTCATAGGATTGACTATACACAGAATTGGTTAGCCCATAGTATCGACAAGGAATAGAATCGACATCGACGTATGCCCGACACTAGTCACCGGCTTAGGATCGAAACGATGTAAAAGAAATTTTCATAATGATGTAACAAAGAGTTAGAAAATTAATGCATATTTGTCACCTGCATTACAGTGTACATTATTTCATTACTTACAGTATACATTAGTATACTAATACTGCGTAGGATCCACATAGGCAAAAGATCGACATTAGTATACGACCGATACAACGTAGGATCGATGCCGTCACAGTATCGACGCCGACATATAGTCGACATAAGCATAGCATAGAGAAAAGTTATAATTAACAAGAGGGAAAAAATGTGATTCAAATATTATTTTTAGGGTACGTCTATTTTTAGGGTCGACATCAGCTTAGAATTGACAATGGCTAAGAATTCACACGGCGTAAACTCGAAATCGATTTTTCCAGTTCCTGTCTCGATCGTATTGTCGGTAGCTAAGCTGTCGATCATACTCAGCGTCGATCTTATACCACATACTCGAAAGCACTGAATGTAAAAGTTTTTCGTCATTTTTTCCACAAACACGAGTCAATTACCTTAGGAAAAAAATCCTCTCAGTGAGAATGATTGCGTAGAGATATTTTGCTTTAGATTATCTGCTTGAAGATTAGGAAAAATTCTTTCTTAGACCTTTGTTGTGGCTATGATTTATTTTACTTGTTTGACAGTAACATCAGATTAAGTCTACTGATTTTAGCGTGGCCAAGAGACAGTGACCGTTCTTGTTGTTGGCTTAAGTGGCTTAGGCCTTGGGCACATTATAAGTGAGAGCACGAATGCCAGCTCCGCCTCAGTTTTGAAGGAAAATCTCTTGGAAGACGGATCCAAAAGTCTCCTGTTCCCTTTTACTCTGCCATCAACTTCTAGAAAGGACTTTCGTTTCGACGATATTTTAAGTGCTAACATGCCGTAAAGATATACATTTATAAACATGTATGCTTTCTCCGAGATTTGAATCCACGGTTATGCCAGCCGGTTCCTCTACCACCATGCCACAACAGGGCGACATTTTATGTTTTAAAAGTTCCATAATAGATAATTTTATGTTGCGAACAGATATAATTTGTTTTAAAATTGGATAAAATTCAATACTAGATTGGTAGTAATTTTGTGGGAAAGACTCCATTCCGAGAATTACTGACGTAAGGCTATTCTCTACATAAGACAAAAGCATTCTAGGAAACTGTAACATTATTAAAAAATTTCAAGAAAAGCTAAAACTTTTTCCTTAAACGACACGAAGAGCAGAAAAGAAAATCCTTAAAAAGTTATACATTTAATTAAATTTACATTTAATTAAAAGTTATACATTTAATCCTTCTGTGGGAATTTAATCCTTAAGAAATTACATATCGCTGAAATGCATTTCTTTTGTTTTCAGTTCTGATATATACCAAGCATGGCTAAACCATAGCTATTTGATCCCTTAAATGCGGCTCGTGTTCAAAACAAACAGTAGTTTTATTTTTGAAATATATTTCAAAACCGAATTCGTAATTTAACCTTTTAAATTGCATCATGTGCATTATAGTTTTGAAAGAGTTTTAAACTGAGCACCTTGCACTAATTATCAAAATAAGAAACCAAAATGTTTTCTTTCTGGTACTCTACCATAACGATGCTGTTTCAAGAACATGCACATCAAATCTTAATGAAAGGAATGAATGAATTATTACTCTACTGGAATAACACATATTTGATATCAAGGATTCATCAAACGAATTAAGTAATTGAATTATTTAGGTCTATGTTTGATCTGTGTATGCTAATTTTCACGTTTCGCAAGGAGGAAACCTAGTTTATCACACTTGTGCAAAAAAGTCGGTCAGACTGACAACGTCTTTTAAAATAACTTTCAAATATTGAATTAGTTTCTCCTGAACATGCGCTATTTCGTCTTATTTGTTTTATTCTTCGCAGATAAGTAAGCTTGGGTTAAAATAAAGAATAGCTGCTGGCTCTATTTCAAATTAATAAATTGTTCTTCATCCAATATTTTTTAATTAGTATAAAATTCATTATTTTGTCTTTCGTTTCCAATTTATCCCTATTAAAATCAATTTACAATTATAATCAGAATTTTTTCGTAAACCGGAAATTCTTCTCTGATTTAAGGAATTTTCGGAAATTTTCTTATACCGGATAAATAAATTCGGGATAAGTAAATTTCCGGATAAATAAATTCGGGATAAATAATAATTCCGGATTACTAAATTTCTTACACCTGATAAATAAATTTTCTTGTACCGGATAAATAAATTCCGGAAATTTTCTTAAATCGGAAATATTTTAAGAATTTTTGAAAACGCTTAATCTTTTTATCTCCGAAGAAAGAATTTTCAATATATTATTTTTAGGGTAACTACAATATATACAATATATACAAAAGTATGTCATACATGTAATCTATCAATATTACATACAAATTTTTTTAAATTTCTGTAATTTTAGAGCATTCTTTTCTGAATGTAGCGTAAGATCGAAAAGAATTGTCTATATATACTCTTAAATTAAGAATAAAAAACAAATAATAAAAAAAAGAATCTGAAAGGTTTCAGATTTTAAATTACATCCAAAGGGGCGTTTTTTTAACGTTTTGTGTGTTACCTTTGTTTATTAAATATCATGTTCTCCTTACTTAAACCATAAATTTCAGTTCAATAGCAATGTCGCAAAATAATTTTAAAATGACCTAATCATTAGAATTCCCGATACACAATTCCGCGTGCTGGAGATAAAAAGTTTTTTTTTTTTTTTTTTTTTCCCCCTCTTTTCACGGTAGAGTGTTGCCATTGCTCGCTTTCAAATCGTTGAGTTTGTTATTCAAAAATTCGCTAAAGCTTTACAAAATATGAAATCGATAATAAAACAAATTCCAAATTTCAAATTTGGGCTTACACATGCCCATATTCGCAGTAGGATTACATCATTCAAAATTCGATGGTTCTATGTACCGTTGTTTTATCACAATGCGAGAAATATACATACATTTATGCAGATTTTTCATTATTTAATTTCTTCAAATATAATATAATGCAGGACATTTGGTGGCAACAGTTTGAAAAGTGAAACGGACATTTATAGTGATTCAACGCAAAATCGCAAAACGAAATCAATAGTCCTTCAGGGGCAAAGCCCCTTTGGACTAAAAATCCTTGTTACTTATTTCAAACACTTCTAACTATTCAAAAATTATTTTGTTCCCTTTAAGAAAATATCAAAATACGTTTGTAGCGCTAGGAAAATCTAGTTGAGACTCTTAAATATTCCTACAGTTTTTAATGCTGCTGTGCTAACTCCTAATAAAATTTTGGTTGCACGTGTTAAATTTTGATAAAAGTAAACTCAAAAGAAATTTTTTATACTTGACGTACCCAAAACAATGACTCGCATAAAACTCTCGTTGGTGCATCCATTTCCTTTGTCTTGGATCCCAGGTAGAAAAAATATATAAGTTACAACATTAAACTACTCGTAGCTGCAGGACGTACATGATTTCTTCTCGACTGAGACTTGTTTCTTCCGAGGAATAACAAGCTGCTGCTAACCTTTGATACCGAAAAAGAGATAAAAACAAAACGTAAGAAGTTTATTTGTCATTTTCTTTCTTCCCTCCCTTTTTCCGAAGAAAGAACCTTCTCGGCGGGTCTTTTGAGTACGACTTTATCATTAGTAATCTCGCTCAATGCAGATATTTAAGTGATAGGATGATGTTTCGTAATTGTTTGCCTTTTAGAGGAGAGTTCATTGTGTGACAGTAGAATAAAAGCAATTCAGACGGTCTCAAATGGGCCTCTTTGTTTATTTGAAATTTTTGGAATGAGGGTTTTTATATACCTGCTTGGGAAAGCATATGTGAGCATCAGTCTTCAAAATTTATTTCTGTATTTTAATGTAAATATAAATTTTAACAAACTTGTATATACGTAAAAAAGCAAATTTAAAGTTAAAATAATTAAAAAATGTGCAAACATATAAAAGATTTAATTTTCGAACTAATCTACAATATAATTTAAATTCAGATAGCATAAGTAAATCAAGTGCAAAACCAAACCATGAAAATAAATTCACCAATTTAGCAAATTAAAATATTTTTTAAAAATGCATAAGTGAATGACTGTTGAGCAGGCAGGAGACAGACATATCAAGGGCAAGTTGCCTCCAAATCTAACTCTTCAATCATTCAATTCGTGTTTCGTCATTCATGCAGGCAAGGGTAAAAGTCAAAACCAAAAGTAAATACATTGTGAAGAATGTCCTAAAAGAAATACCAATAAAGTGGTAGAGAAATTAGCAATTAAAAATTAAAGTTCTAAAAGGAAAATACCAATAATGAAGTATTTTGAGAAAAAAGTAATGTAAAATCTAGTATTAAATTAAAATTTTTTTTAAAAAATTTCAAAAAATTAAAAATTTTTTAGAAAATTAATTTAGAAACCATACATTTTAGAAACCCTTGTCTACAGAAACCTCCCCGACACGAATATGCATATCAATCAAAAAGAAACTAAAAGGAACTAGGCATAATCTATATAAACCAATAAGAAACTAAAAAGAAAATTCATAATTTATAAAAAAAAATATATATATATATATACATAAAAATATAATTACATATCGAGAAAATACTACATAACAAATACTTAAAAAATACTTAAAAGCAAGTAAATAGTAAGTTTTAATTCTAACTTACCTACCATATTAGCGTTGGGGTCTGCAAAAGTATTTCCTAAGTGATGTAAGTGTGTTCTGCAAATTATATAGATGGCGCTAATGTAAGTAAAGTTGAGTGCCAAACTGCTAGGCATTTCAATTACTACACTGAATGACAGTTTGGATAAATATATATATATATATATATAAAGAGTTTACGCTGCCATAACGAAGGGACCTGGTTCAAACCCCGGAGAAGGCAAGAATGTTTTTAAATGTATAGTGTCTATACGGCGTGGGGGCGCTATAAATATGCAGCGAGCCGAAAGTCCCCTCGAGAGGTTGGTGGTAGGGGAAAAGGGGTGGGAGACCCGTCTTCCGGAGTTGCTCTACATCAAGACTGGCGGAACTGAGCAAAGTCATACTGTCACCTGTATGGTGCTCAGGGCTCTTGGCAAAGACAGTGGCAATCTTGCACTCTTTGCCACGAATTAATTTCTTTTTTTTTTTTTTTTTTTTTTTTTTTTTTTTTTTTTTTTTTTTTTTTTTTTTTTTTTTTTTTTTTTTTTTTTTTTTTTTTTTTTTTTTTTTTTTTTTTTTTGTCGTGGGCTTGTTCTGATGTTACTGTCAGACAAATGAGATAAGTTACAGCAACTGAGCAACAGAGTTTACGGATTCCTAAGCCTATTCAGTCATCGGTAATGCCGTAAATTTGCCAGTTAAAACTGATCTACCAACAACTTAACAGTACTTTTCCTTTTCGAAAATTTCATTGAAAATAATAATAATAATAAGTAAATAATGCTGTATTCAAACTTAGCAAGAACTACTAAAAAAAGTATTAAGATAAATTATATTCTACGCATATATAAAACTAGAAAGCCTGGCGGTCATACGAAATGGCCGCTATTCTAGATATTATAAATTGTGATTAAAATGATTTGTGCAAAGGTGTCTGCTAATTCAAACTGAATTACCCAAGACAGGCGGCGAGCACGCCCCTTTGCTTAGTGCCCCACGGGGTTTCCCCCTTCTACTTGCTTTATTGCTTAAAGTAGAGTGCAATGAAGGAAACCACTGGCGGTACATTTCTTAAGAGCCACCGCTAGCTCAATAAATAAAAGTAATTTAAATAATAAAATGTCAATTCACATATCAAAGATCTCTTTGTACACAACATTTCTTGTGTAGATCTTTCCATCATTTTTAAGCTCGCCTTGCAGAGGACAATCCATTATTTTTAATTTTACATCCGTTCTTTTAGGATTTCTTGAACAGGCAACATAAAGTTGACCGTGTCCATATGCAGGCTCAGGTAAAAAAATGCCAACACGCTTAAGCGTTTGGCCCTGAGACTATTGGTGGTCATAGCAAAGGCAAGTTTTACAGGAATTTGTCTACGTCTCAATTGAAACGGCAACCCTGTTGCGTGACAACTTCACCCCATTGGCTAGTACAGTTACGCAAGCAACCAATAAACTATCGGCGACAAACAGACACTTAAGCCGCATATAATAAAGATATTTATTTATTTCATTTTACTTGTTTTTTCATCGTTGCCGGTTTTTGCTGGTTGCATATTTCCGAATTCTATTATATATAGATGTTAAATTTATTTATTAAATGTTAAATGCACGTGCTCTTGTATTTTTAATTTTTCTGGCTTAGCTTTCTCATAATATTCGTCACGCGCTACTCTGCACGAGGAATAAAACAATTTACAGTTAAGCAAGCAACCAATAAACTATCGGCGACATACACTTAAGCCGCATATATATAAGATGTTGTAGCAGATATATAGGGTGATTCAAAACTAGGGAAACAAACATCTAGGAAGAGAAAAGTGCACCTCGACGAGTCGAAATCACACAGCATCGCAGGGTAGGGAAAGCAATCCTAACTAGATAAGGGGCTGCCACAGGAAAACCATCGACAGCCCCCCGCAAAGGCATTAGGATGGGAAGTATGAATACATCGTAATGGCTATTTAAAGACAATAAAAATAAGTCCGTACTCTCCTGATGATGAAGGCCACTCACATTTCGTAAAATGGAGTAAGGCATGCGGACATTTTGAAATGACGCATTTTCTTGGCAACCGGGGACGTTGACGGATGCCCGGTGTATTTCAAAACGTCGGAGATTCCATGCAATGCCCATGTTACGAAACTTTGAGCAACTTCGTTAACAACTGCCCTGATGCAATGTATGCTGTATGTAACAAAATTACAATTAACATTTCTTTATCTTCAACTAAGTTTCGTTCGAATTTTGAAACGAAACGCTCTGCTTATGAAAAAACAACTATACATTTCTTTCAGACACAATCTAATGCCCTGGAAAAATTTCAACTCTAAACGATAAACATTACTAAAATCAAAAACGAAATGACAGCAGATGCATTCCATCGCGTCAAATACTGCATTTCAGGCAATGATGAAGTTATTACAGAAATATTTTACCCAAAATTTTTATGTCTGAAATGTTCTATTTGATAACCCTTATTCTTCATTACACCGAAATTTCCAAAACAATAAAACTTCTTATAGCATCGGAAGAAGTACTTTATCCCATTCCTCTTGAACAGCTTTCCAGAGTCCAAGGCCAATAGGTCGAAGTTTAGACAATCCGCTTTCTAAAAGTCCAAAAGCACAAAAATCCATGGGTAATACATCGAGAGATTTATAAAGAATATAAGTGAAGATTACGGCCTTGATACCCGTTTCTTATTCCATTTTTACCAGGAAATGAATACTAGATAAGGTGTGGCTACTTGTTCTGTCTTGATGCAGTTCTACTTACTGATGGCACTGCAGGGAAAGAGATGGTGCATCATATTTGAAAATTGGGTACAAAATATGTTCCTGATAATATGTGGATTTGCTGACAATATTTCTCTCCACTCTCTTTATTTTTAATTTGCCGTTATATGAAAAACCAGCGGCAACTATAAATCTCTTTGAAAAACTTTCTTCAGAATCTTTGAATCATGATTTTTTCTCTTTTATGAAAATAAATATAGATCTCTTTTTATCTCAGTCGTTTTAATACACCCAAGATTCATCTAATGAGACAACGTTTTTCCATTTTTTGTCCGGATAAATGTTTCTCATAAAGAATTCTGCTTTCGGCGATATGTCGTAGAGAAAGATGATGCACCTTATGTTATTTCGGCTTTTTAAGATTCAAAACAGCATTAATCACTTTATTTATAATTGACATTGAGCATTTTAATGATTTTGCAACTGCACTTTGATTTGGCGTATTTTTTTTAACCTTAAAGTTCTTACTTTTGCAACATTCGAAACATTTCGTATTTTCCTCGGATACGTATTTGGAATAATTTTTTCACTAAAAGCCAAACTTTGATGGGTTTTTCCCCCTCTCTTGTTGACAATATTAGCTATTGTAGCTTTAGATATCGAAAAACCATGGCTTTCACAGCGTATTTTATAAGTAGATACTAAAAACGTTCTTCGCAAAGAGCACAAACATAGCTTTCTATCCATTGCTTCTTTCTCTAAAAGCGCCATTTTGCATGAAAACAAAACTTTCAGGTAGCAGACGATAATTTATACTAATGCAACAAAGTATAGTTGCAGTTAAAAAAATTCCCAAAGCAGACGATTTTTTTTATAGCAAAGCAAAACTGTCTAAAAAAGTGTGCGGACAATCTCTGTATAATTAGACAAACACTTATTAAGCCTTATGTGAAAGAAATGGTATCCTGCAAGTTCAATGAAAAGAGTCTGCTAAAAAAACAGATTTGATAAAATTATTCAATAACATTGTCTCGCGCCGCATTTCCGATCTTTCTACCGATATGTTTACGGAGCTAATTAATTGACTTTACAATAAATTTATTTTACAAACGGATG